CTATGGACCGGTTGGACCAACTGGCCTGTTGGTCCTATGGACCGGTTGGACCAACTGGCCTGTTGGTCCTATGGACCGGTTGGACCAACTGGCCTGTTGGTCCTATGGACCGGTTGGACCAACTGGCCTGTTGGTCCTATGGACCGGTTGGACCAACTGGCCTGTTGGTCCTATGGACCGGTTGGACCAACTGGCCTGTTGGTCCTATGGACCGGTTGGACCAACTGGCCTGTTGGTCCTATGGACCGGTTGGACCAACTGGCCTGTTGGTCCTATGGACCGGTTGGACCAACTGGCCTGTTGGTCCTATGGACCGGTTGGACCAACTGGCCTGTTGGTCCTATGGACCGGTTGGACCAACTGGCCTGTTGGTCCTATGGACCGGTTGGACCAACTGGCCTGTTGGTCCTATGGACCGGTTGGACCAACTGGCCTGTTGGTCCTATGGACCGGTTGGACCAACTGGCCTGTTGGTCCTATGGACCGGTTGGACCAACTGGCCTGTTGGTCCTATGGACCGGTTGGACCAACTGGCCTGTTGGTCCTATGGACCGGTTGGACCAACTGGCCTGTTGGTCCTATGGACCGGTTGGACCAACTGGCCTGTTGGTCCTATGGACCGGTTGGACCAACTGGCCTGTTGGTCCTATGGACCGGTTGGACCAACTGGCCTGTTGGTCCTATGGACCGGTTGGACCAACTGGCCTGTTGGTCCTATGGACCGGTTGGACCAACTGGCCTGTTGGTCCTATGGACCGGTTGGACCAACTGGCCTGTTGGTCCTATGGACCGGTTGGACCAACTGGCCTGTTGGTCCTATGGACCGGTTGGACCAACTGGCCTGTTGGTCCTATGGACCGGTTGGACCAACTGGCCTGTTGGTCCTATGGACCGGTTGGACCAACTGGCCTGTTGGTCCTATGGACCGGTTGGACCAACTGGCCTGTTGGTCCTATGGACCGGTTGGACCAACTGGCCTGTTGGTCCTATGGACCGGTTGGACCAACTGGCCTGTTGGTCCTATGGACCGGTTGGACCAACTGGCCTGTTGGTCCTATGGACCGGTTGGACCAACTGGCCTGTTGGTCCTATGGACCGGTTGGACCAACTGGCCTGTTGGTCCTATGGACCGGTTGGACCAACTGGCCTGTTGGTCCTATGGACCGGTTGGACCAACTGGCCTGTTGGTCCTATGGACCGGTTGGACCAACTGGCCTGTTGGTCCTATGGACCGGTTGGACCAACTGGCCTGTTGGTCCTATGGACCGGTTGGACCAACTGGCCTGTTGGTCCTATGGACCGGTTGGACCAACTGGCCTGTTGGTCCTATGGACCGGTTGGACCAACTGGCCTGTTGGTCCTATGGACCGGTTGGACCAACTGGCCTGTTGGTCCTATGGACCGGTTGGACCAACTGGCCTGTTGGTCCTATGGACCGGTTGGACCAACTGGCCTGTTGGTCCTATGGACCGGTTGGACCAACTGGCCTGTTGGTCCTATGGACCGGTTGGACCAACTGGCCTGTTGGTCCTATGGACCGGTTGGACCAACTGGCCTGTTGGTCCTATGGACCGGTTGGACCAACTGGCCTGTTGGTCCTATGGACCGGTTGGACCAACTGGCCTGTTGGTCCTATGGACCGGTTGGACCAACTGGCCTGTTGGTCCTATGGACCGGTTGGACCAACTGGCCTGTTGGTCCTATGGACCGGTTGGACCAACTGGCCTGTTGGTCCTATGGACCGGTTGGACCAACTGGCCTGTTGGTCCTATGGACCGGTTGGACCAACTGGCCTGTTGGTCCTATGGACCGGTTGGACCAACTGGCCTGTTGGTCCTATGGACCGGTTGGACCAACTGGCCTGTTGGTCCTATGGACCGGTTGGACCAACTGGCCTGTTGGTCCTATGGACCGGTTGGACCAACTGGCCTGTTGGTCCTATGGACCGGTTGGACCAACTGGCCTGTTGGTCCTATGGACCGGTTGGACCAACTGGCCTGTTGGTCCTATGGACCGGTTGGACCAACTGGCCTGTTGGTCCTATGGACCGGTTGGACCAACTGGCCTGTTGGTCCTATGGACCGGTTGGACCAACTGGCCTGTTGGTCCTATGGACCGGTTGGACCAACTGGCCTGTTGGTCCTATGGACCGGTTGGACCAACTGGCCTGTTGGTCCTATGGACCGGTTGGACCAACTGGCCTGTTGGTCCTATGGACCGGTTGGACCAACTGGCCTGTTGGTCCTATGGACCGGTTGGACCAACTGGCCTGTTGGTCCTATGGACCGGTTGGACCAACTGGCCTGTTGGTCCTATGGACCGGTTGGACCAACTGGCCTGTTGGTCCTATGGACCGGTTGGACCAACTGGCCTGTTGGTCCTATGGACCGGTTGGACCAACTGGCCTGTTGGTCCTATGGACCGGTTGGACCAACTGGCCTGTTGGTCCTATGGACCGGTTGGACCAACTGGCCTGTTGGTCCTATGGACCGGTTGGACCAACTGGCCTGTTGGTCCTATGGACCGGTTGGACCAACTGGCCTGTTGGTCCTATGGACCGGTTGGACCAACTGGCCTGTTGGTCCTATGGACCGGTTGGACCAACTGGCCTGTTGGTCCTATGGACCGGTTGGACCAACTGGCCTGTTGGTCCTATGGACCGGTTGGACCAACTGGCCTGTTGGTCCTATGGACCGGTTGGACCAACTGGCCTGTTGGTCCTATGGACCGGTTGGACCAACTGGCCTGTTGGTCCTATGGACCGGTTGGACCAACTGGCCTGTTGGTCCTATGGACCGGTTGGACCAACTGGCCTGTTGGTCCTATGGACCGGTTGGACCAACTGGCCTGTTGGTCCTATGGACCGGTTGGACCAACTGGCCTGTTGGTCCTATGGACCGGTTGGACCAACTGGCCTGTTGGTCCTATGGACCGGTTGGACCAACTGGCCTGTTGGTCCTATGGACCGGTTGGACCAACTGGCCTGTTGGTCCTATGGACCGGTTGGACCAACTGGCCTGTTGGTCCTATGGACCGGTTGGACCAACTGGCCTGTTGGTCCTATGGACCGGTTGGACCAACTGGCCTGTTGGTCCTATGGACCGGTTGGACCAACTGGCCTGTTGGTCCTATGGACCGGTTGGACCAACTGGCCTGTTGGTCCTATGGACCGGTTGGACCAACTGGCCTGTTGGTCCTATGGACCGGTTGGACCAACTGGCCTGTTGGTCCTATGGACCGGTTGGACCAACTGGCCTGTTGGTCCTATGGACCGGTTGGACCAACTGGCCTGTTGGTCCTATGGACCGGTTGGACCAACTGGCCTGTTGGTCCTATGGACCGGTTGGACCAACTGGCCTGTTGGTCCTATGGACCGGTTGGACCAACTGGCCTGTTGGTCCTATGGACCGGTTGGACCAACTGGCCTGTTGGTCCTATGGACCGGTTGGACCAACTGGCCTGTTGGTCCTATGGACCGGTTGGACCAACTGGCCTGTTGGTCCTATGGACCGGTTGGACCAACTGGCCTGTTGGTCCTATGGACCGGTTGGACCAACTGGCCTGTTGGTCCTATGGACCGGTTGGACCAACTGGCCTGTTGGTCCTATGGACCGGTTGGACCAACTGGCCTGTTGGTCCTATGGACCGGTTGGACCAACTGGCCTGTTGGTCCTATGGACCGGTTGGACCAACTGGCCTGTTGGTCCTATGGACCGGTTGGACCAACTGGCCTGTTGGTCCTATGGACCGGTTGGACCAACTGGCCTGTTGGTCCTATGGACCGGTTGGACCAACTGGCCTGTTGGTCCTATGGACCGGTTGGACCAACTGGCCTGTTGGTCCTATGGACCGGTTGGACCAACTGGCCTGTTGGTCCTATGGACCGGTTGGACCAACTGGCCTGTTGGTCCTATGGACCGGTTGGACCAACTGGCCTGTTGGTCCTATGGACCGGTTGGACCAACTGGCCTGTTGGTCCTATGGACCGGTTGGACCAACTGGCCTGTTGGTCCTATGGACCGGTTGGACCAACTGGCCTGTTGGTCCTATGGACCGGTTGGACCAACTGGCCTGTTGGTCCTATGGACCGGTTGGACCAACTGGCCTGTTGGTCCTATGGACCGGTTGGACCAACTGGCCTGTTGGTCCTATGGACCGGTTGGACCAACTGGCCTGTTGGTCCTATGGACCGGTTGGACCAACTGGCCTGTTGGTCCTATGGACCGGTTGGACCAACTGGCCTGTTGGTCCTATGGACCGGTTGGACCAACTGGCCTGTTGGTCCTATGGACCGGTTGGACCAACTGGCCTGTTGGTCCTATGGACCGGTTGGACCAACTGGCCTGTTGGTCCTATGGACCGGTTGGACCAACTGGCCTGTTGGTCCTATGGACCGGTTGGACCAACTGGCCTGTTGGTCCTATGGACCGGTTGGACCAACTGGCCTGTTGGTCCTATGGACCGGTTGGACCAACTGGCCTGTTGGTCCTATGGACCGGTTGGACCAACTGGCCTGTTGGTCCTATGGACCGGTTGGACCAACTGGCCTGTTGGTCCTATGGACCGGTTGGACCAACTGGCCTGTTGGTCCTATGGACCGGTTGGACCAACTGGCCTGTTGGTCCTATGGACCGGTTGGACCAACTGGCCTGTTGGTCCTATGGACCGGTTGGACCAACTGGCCTGTTGGTCCTATGGACCGGTTGGACCAACTGGCCTGTTGGTCCTATGGACCGGTTGGACCAACTGGCCTGTTGGTCCTATGGACCGGTTGGACCAACTGGCCTGTTGGTCCTATGGACCGGTTGGACCAACTGGCCTGTTGGTCCTATGGACCGGTTGGACCAACTGGCCTGTTGGTCCTATGGACCGGTTGGACCAACTGGCCTGTTGGTCCTATGGACCGGTTGGACCAACTGGCCTGTTGGTCCTATGGACCGGTTGGACCAACTGGCCTGTTGGTCCTATGGACCGGTTGGACCAACTGGCCTGTTGGTCCTATGGACCGGTTGGACCAACTGGCCTGTTGGTCCTATGGACCGGTTGGACCAACTGGCCTGTTGGTCCTATGGACCGGTTGGACCAACTGGCCTGTTGGTCCTATGGACCGGTTGGACCAACTGGCCTGTTGGTCCTATGGACCGGTTGGACCAACTGGCCTGTTGGTCCTATGGACCGGTTGGACCAACTGGCCTGTTGGTCCTATGGACCGGTTGGACCAACTGGCCTGTTGGTCCTATGGACCGGTTGGACCAACTGGCCTGTTGGTCCTATGGACCGGTTGGACCAACTGGCCTGTTGGTCCTATGGACCGGTTGGACCAACTGGCCTGTTGGTCCTATGGACCGGTTGGACCAACTGGCCTGTTGGTCCTATGGACCGGTTGGACCAACTGGCCTGTTGGTCCTATGGACCGGTTGGACCAACTGGCCTGTTGGTCCTATGGACCGGTTGGACCAACTGGCCTGTTGGTCCTATGGACCGGTTGGACCAACTGGCCTGTTGGTCCTATGGACCGGTTGGACCAACTGGCCTGTTGGTCCTATGGACCGGTTGGACCAACTGGCCTGTTGGTCCTATGGACCGGTTGGACCAACTGGCCTGTTGGTCCTATGGACCGGTTGGACCAACTGGCCTGTTGGTCCTATGGACCGGTTGGACCAACTGGCCTGTTGGTCCTATGGACCGGTTGGACCAACTGGCCTGTTGGTCCTATGGACCGGTTGGACCAACTGGCCTGTTGGTCCTATGGACCGGTTGGACCAACTGGCCTGTTGGTCCTATGGACCGGTTGGACCAACTGGCCTGTTGGTCCTATGGACCGGTTGGACCAACTGGCCTGTTGGTCCTATGGACCGGTTGGACCAACTGGCCTGTTGGTCCTATGGACCGGTTGGACCAACTGGCCTGTTGGTCCTATGGACCGGTTGGACCAACTGGCCTGTTGGTCCTATGGACCGGTTGGACCAACTGGCCTGTTGGTCCTATGGACCGGTTGGACCAACTGGCCTGTTGGTCCTATGGACCGGTTGGACCAACTGGCCTGTTGGTCCTATGGACCGGTTGGACCAACTGGCCTGTTGGTCCTATGGACCGGTTGGACCAACTGGCCTGTTGGTCCTATGGACCGGTTGGACCAACTGGCCTGTTGGTCCTATGGACCGGTTGGACCAACTGGCCTGTTGGTCCTATGGACCGGTTGGACCAACTGGCCTGTTGGTCCTATGGACCGGTTGGACCAACTGGCCTGTTGGTCCTATGGACCGGTTGGACCAACTGGCCTGTTGGTCCTATGGACCGGTTGGACCAACTGGCCTGTTGGTCCTATGGACCGGTTGGACCAACTGGCCTGTTGGTCCTATGGACCGGTTGGACCAACTGGCCTGTTGGTCCTATGGACCGGTTGGACCAACTGGCCTGTTGGTCCTATGGACCGGTTGGACCAACTGGCCTGTTGGTCCTATGGACCGGTTGGACCAACTGGCCTGTTGGTCCTATGGACCGGTTGGACCAACTGGCCTGTTGGTCCTATGGACCGGTTGGACCAACTGGCCTGTTGGTCCTATGGACCGGTTGGACCAACTGGCCTGTTGGTCCTATGGACCGGTTGGACCAACTGGCCTGTTGGTCCTATGGACCGGTTGGACCAACTGGCCTGTTGGTCCTATGGACCGGTTGGACCAACTGGCCTGTTGGTCCTATGGACCGGTTGGACCAACTGGCCTGTTGGTCCTATGGACCGGTTGGACCAACTGGCCTGTTGGTCCTATGGACCGGTTGGACCAACTGGCCTGTTGGTCCTATGGACCGGTTGGACCAACTGGCCTGTTGGTCCTATGGACCGGTTGGACCAACTGGCCTGTTGGTCCTATGGACCGGTTGGACCAACTGGCCTGTTGGTCCTATGGACCGGTTGGACCAACTGGCCTGTTGGTCCTATGGACCGGTTGGACCAACTGGCCTGTTGGTCCTATGGACCGGTTGGACCAACTGGCCTGTTGGTCCTATGGACCGGTTGGACCAACTGGCCTGTTGGTCCTATGGACCGGTTGGACCAACTGGCCTGTTGGTCCTATGGACCGGTTGGACCAACTGGCCTGTTGGTCCTATGGACCGGTTGGACCAACTGGCCTGTTGGTCCTATGGACCGGTTGGACCAACTGGCCTGTTGGTCCTATGGACCGGTTGGACCAACTGGCCTGTTGGTCCTATGGACCGGTTGGACCAACTGGCCTGTTGGTCCTATGGACCGGTTGGACCAACTGGCCTGTTGGTCCTATGGACCGGTTGGACCAACTGGCCTGTTGGTCCTATGGACCGGTTGGACCAACTGGCCTGTTGGTCCTATGGACCGGTTGGACCAACTGGCCTGTTGGTCCTATGGACCGGTTGGACCAACTGGCCTGTTGGTCCTATGGACCGGTTGGACCAACTGGCCTGTTGGTCCTATGGACCGGTTGGACCAACTGGCCTGTTGGTCCTATGGACCGGTTGGACCAACTGGCCTGTTGGTCCTATGGACCGGTTGGACCAACTGGCCTGTTGGTCCTATGGACCGGTTGGACCAACTGGCCTGTTGGTCCTATGGACCGGTTGGACCAACTGGCCTGTTGGTCCTATGGACCGGTTGGACCAACTGGCCTGTTGGTCCTATGGACCGGTTGGACCAACTGGCCTGTTGGTCCTATGGACCGGTTGGACCAACTGGCCTGTTGGTCCTATGGACCGGTTGGACCAACTGGCCTGTTGGTCCTATGGACCGGTTGGACCAACTGGCCTGTTGGTCCTATGGACCGGTTGGACCAACTGGCCTGTTGGTCCTATGGACCGGTTGGACCAACTGGCCTGTTGGTCCTATGGACCGGTTGGACCAACTGGCCTGTTGGTCCTATGGACCGGTTGGACCAACTGGCCTGTTGGTCCTATGGACCGGTTGGACCAACTGGCCTGTTGGTCCTATGGACCGGTTGGACCAACTGGCCTGTTGGTCCTATGGACCGGTTGGACCAACTGGCCTGTTGGTCCTATGGACCGGTTGGACCAACTGGCCTGTTGGTCCTATGGACCGGTTGGACCAACTGGCCTGTTGGTCCTATGGACCGGTTGGACCAACTGGCCTGTTGGTCCTATGGACCGGTTGGACCAACTGGCCTGTTGGTCCTATGGACCGGTTGGACCAACTGGCCTGTTGGTCCTATGGACCGGTTGGACCAACTGGCCTGTTGGTCCTATGGACCGGTTGGACCAACTGGCCTGTTGGTCCTATGGACCGGTTGGACCAACTGGCCTGTTGGTCCTATGGACCGGTTGGACCAACTGGCCTGTTGGTCCTATGGACCGGTTGGACCAACTGGCCTGTTGGTCCTATGGACCGGTTGGACCAACTGGCCTGTTGGTCCTATGGACCGGTTGGACCAACTGGCCTGTTGGTCCTATGGACCGGTTGGACCAACTGGCCTGTTGGTCCTATGGACCGGTTGGACCAACTGGCCTGTTGGTCCTATGGACCGGTTGGACCAACTGGCCTGTTGGTCCTATGGACCGGTTGGACCAACTGGCCTGTTGGTCCTATGGACCGGTTGGACCAACTGGCCTGTTGGTCCTATGGACCGGTTGGACCAACTGGCCTGTTGGTCCTATGGACCGGTTGGACCAACTGGCCTGTTGGTCCTATGGACCGGTTGGACCAACTGGCCTGTTGGTCCTATGGACCGGTTGGACCAACTGGCCTGTTGGTCCTATGGACCGGTTGGACCAACTGGCCTGTTGGTCCTATGGACCGGTTGGACCAACTGGCCTGTTGGTCCTATGGACCGGTTGGACCAACTGGCCTGTTGGTCCTATGGACCGGTTGGACCAACTGGCCTGTTGGTCCTATGGACCGGTTGGACCAACTGGCCTGTTGGTCCTATGGACCGGTTGGACCAACTGGCCTGTTGGTCCTATGGACCGGTTGGACCAACTGGCCTGTTGGTCCTATGGACCGGTTGGACCAACTGGCCTGTTGGTCCTATGGACCGGTTGGACCAACTGGCCTGTTGGTCCTATGGACCGGTTGGACCAACTGGCCTGTTGGTCCTATGGACCGGTTGGACCAACTGGCCTGTTGGTCCTATGGACCGGTTGGACCAACTGGCCTGTTGGTCCTATGGACCGGTTGGACCAACTGGCCTGTTGGTCCTATGGACCGGTTGGACCAACTGGCCTGTTGGTCCTATGGACCGGTTGGACCAACTGGCCTGTTGGTCCTATGGACCGGTTGGACCAACTGGCCTGTTGGTCCTATGGACCGGTTGGACCAACTGGCCTGTTGGTCCTATGGACCGGTTGGACCAACTGGCCTGTTGGTCCTATGGACCGGTTGGACCAACTGGCCTGTTGGTCCTATGGACCGGTTGGACCAACTGGCCTGTTGGTCCTATGGACCGGTTGGACCAACTGGCCTGTTGGTCCTATGGACCGGTTGGACCAACTGGCCTGTTGGTCCTATGGACCGGTTGGACCAACTGGCCTGTTGGTCCTATGGACCGGTTGGACCAACTGGCCTGTTGGTCCTATGGACCGGTTGGACCAACTGGCCTGTTGGTCCTATGGACCGGTTGGACCAACTGGCCTGTTGGTCCTATGGACCGGTTGGACCAACTGGCCTGTTGGTCCTATGGACCGGTTGGACCAACTGGCCTGTTGGTCCTATGGACCGGTTGGACCAACTGGCCTGTTGGTCCTATGGACCGGTTGGACCAACTGGCCTGTTGGTCCTATGGACCGGTTGGACCAACTGGCCTGTTGGTCCTATGGACCGGTTGGACCAACTGGCCTGTTGGTCCTATGGACCGGTTGGACCAACTGGCCTGTTGGTCCTATGGACCGGTTGGACCAACTGGCCTGTTGGTCCTATGGACCGGTTGGACCAACTGGCCTGTTGGTCCTATGGACCGGTTGGACCAACTGGCCTGTTGGTCCTATGGACCGGTTGGACCAACTGGCCTGTTGGTCCTATGGACCGGTTGGACCAACTGGCCTGTTGGTCCTATGGACCGGTTGGACCAACTGGCCTGTTGGTCCTATGGACCGGTTGGACCAACTGGCCTGTTGGTCCTATGGACCGGTTGGACCAACTGGCCTGTTGGTCCTATGGACCGGTTGGACCAACTGGCCTGTTGGTCCTATGGACCGGTTGGACCAACTGGCCTGTTGGTCCTATGGACCGGTTGGACCAACTGGCCTGTTGGTCCTATGGACCGGTTGGACCAACTGGCCTGTTGGTCCTATGGACCGGTTGGACCAACTGGCCTGTTGGTCCTATGGACCGGTTGGACCAACTGGCCTGTTGGTCCTATGGACCGGTTGGACCAACTGGCCTGTTGGTCCTATGGACCGGTTGGACCAACTGGCCTGTTGGTCCTATGGACCGGTTGGACCAACTGGCCTGTTGGTCCTATGGACCGGTTGGACCAACTGGCCTGTTGGTCCTATGGACCGGTTGGACCAACTGGCCTGTTGGTCCTATGGACCGGTTGGACCAACTGGCCTGTTGGTCCTATGGACCGGTTGGACCAACTGGCCTGTTGGTCCTATGGACCGGTTGGACCAACTGGCCTGTTGGTCCTATGGACCGGTTGGACCAACTGGCCTGTTGGTCCTATGGACCGGTTGGACCAACTGGCCTGTTGGTCCTATGGACCGGTTGGACCAACTGGCCTGTTGGTCCTATGGACCGGTTGGACCAACTGGCCTGTTGGTCCTATGGACCGGTTGGACCAACTGGCCTGTTGGTCCTATGGACCGGTTGGACCAACTGGCCTGTTGGTCCTATGGACCGGTTGGACCAACTGGCCTGTTGGTCCTATGGACCGGTTGGACCAACTGGCCTGTTGGTCCTATGGACCGGTTGGACCAACTGGCCTGTTGGTCCTATGGACCGGTTGGACCAACTGGCCTGTTGGTCCTATGGACCGGTTGGACCAACTGGCCTGTTGGTCCTATGGACCGGTTGGACCAACTGGCCTGTTGGTCCTATGGACCGGTTGGACCAACTGGCCTGTTGGTCCTATGGACCGGTTGGACCAACTGGCCTGTTGGTCCTATGGACCGGTTGGACCAACTGGCCTGTTGGTCCTATGGACCGGTTGGACCAACTGGCCTGTTGGTCCTATGGACCGGTTGGACCAACTGGCCTGTTGGTCCTATGGACCGGTTGGACCAACTGGCCTGTTGGTCCTATGGACCGGTTGGACCAACTGGCCTGTTGGTCCTATGGACCGGTTGGACCAACTGGCCTGTTGGTCCTATGGACCGGTTGGACCAACTGGCCTGTTGGTCCTATGGACCGGTTGGACCAACTGGCCTGTTGGTCCTATGGACCGGTTGGACCAACTGGCCTGTTGGTCCTATGGACCGGTTGGACCAACTGGCCTGTTGGTCCTATGGACCGGTTGGACCAACTGGCCTGTTGGTCCTATGGACCGGTTGGACCAACTGGCCTGTTGGTCCTATGGACCGGTTGGACCAACTGGCCTGTTGGTCCTATGGACCGGTTGGACCAACTGGCCTGTTGGTCCTATGGACCGGTTGGACCAACTGGCCTGTTGGTCCTATGGACCGGTTGGACCAACTGGCCTGTTGGTCCTATGGACCGGTTGGACCAACTGGCCTGTTGGTCCTATGGACCGGTTGGACCAACTGGCCTGTTGGTCCTATGGACCGGTTGGACCAACTGGCCTGTTGGTCCTATGGACCGGTTGGACCAACTGGCCTGTTGGTCCTATGGACCGGTTGGACCAACTGGCCTGTTGGTCCTATGGACCGGTTGGACCAACTGGCCTGTTGGTCCTATGGACCGGTTGGACCAACTGGCCTGTTGGTCCTATGGACCGGTTGGACCAACTGGCCTGTTGGTCCTATGGACCGGTTGGACCAACTGGCCTGTTGGTCCTATGGACCGGTTGGACCAACTGGCCTGTTGGTCCTATGGACCGGTTGGACCAACTGGCCTGTTGGTCCTATGGACCGGTTGGACCAACTGGCCTGTTGGTCCTATGGACCGGTTGGACCAACTGGCCTGTTGGTCCTATGGACCGGTTGGACCAACTGGCCTGTTGGTCCTATGGACCGGTTGGACCAACTGGCCTGTTGGTCCTATGGACCGGTTGGACCAACTGGCCTGTTGGTCCTATGGACCGGTTGGACCAACTGGCCTGTTGGTCCTATGGACCGGTTGGACCAACTGGCCTGTTGGTCCTATGGACCGGTTGGACCAACTGGCCTGTTGGTCCTATGGACCGGTTGGACCAACTGGCCTGTTGGTCCTATGGACCGGTTGGACCAACTGGCCTGTTGGTCCTATGGACCGGTTGGACCAACTGGCCTGTTGGTCCTATGGACCGGTTGGACCAACTGGCCTGTTGGTCCTATGGACCGGTTGGACCAACTGGCCTGTTGGTCCTATGGACCGGTTGGACCAACTGGCCTGTTGGTCCTATGGACCGGTTGGACCAACTGGCCTGTTGGTCCTATGGACCGGTTGGACCAACTGGCCTGTTGGTCCTATGGACCGGTTGGACCAACTGGCCTGTTGGTCCTATGGACCGGTTGGACCAACTGGCCTGTTGGTCCTATGGACCGGTTGGACCAACTGGCCTGTTGGTCCTATGGACCGGTTGGACCAACTGGCCTGTTGGTCCTATGGACCGGTTGGACCAACTGGCCTGTTGGTCCTATGGACCGGTTGGACCAACTGGCCTGTTGGTCCTATGGACCGGTTGGACCAACTGGCCTGTTGGTCCTATGGACCGGTTGGACCAACTGGCCTGTTGGTCCTATGGACCGGTTGGACCAACTGGCCTGTTGGTCCTATGGACCGGTTGGACCAACTGGCCTGTTGGTCCTATGGACCGGTTGGACCAACTGGCCTGTTGGTCCTATGGACCGGTTGGACCAACTGGCCTGTTGGTCCTATGGACCGGTTGGACCAACTGGCCTGTTGGTCCTATGGACCGGTTGGACCAACTGGCCTGTTGGTCCTATGGACCGGTTGGACCAACTGGCCTGTTGGTCCTATGGACCGGTTGGACCAACTGGCCTGTTGGTCCTATGGACCGGTTGGACCAACTGGCCTGTTGGTCCTATGGACCGGTTGGACCAACTGGCCTGTTGGTCCTATGGACCGGTTGGACCAACTGGCCTGTTGGTCCTATGGACCGGTTGGACCAACTGGCATGTTGGTCCTATGGACCGGTTGGACCAACTGGCCTGTTGGTCCTATGGACCGGTTGGACCAACTGGCCTGTTGGTCCTATGGACCGGTTGGACCAACTGGCCTGTTGGTCCTATGGACCGGTTGGACCAACTGGCCTGTTGGTCCTATGGACCGGTTGGACCAACTGGCCTGTTGGTCCTATGGACCGGTTGGACCAACTGGCCTGTTGGTCCTATGGACCGGTTGGACCAACTGGCCTGTTGGTCCTATGGACCGGTTGGACCAACTGGCCTGTTGGTCCTATGGACCGGTTGGACCAACTGGCCTGTTGGTCCTATGGACCGGTTGGACCAACTGGCCTGTTGGTCCTATGGACCGGTTGGACCAACTGGCCTGTTGGTCCTATGGACCGGTTGGACCAACTGGCCTGTTGGTCCTATGGACCGGTTGGACCAACTGGCCTGTTGGTCCTATGGACCGGTTGGACCAACTGGCCTGTTGGTCCTATGGACCGGTTGGACCAACTGGCCTGTTGGTCCTATGGACCGGTTGGACCAACTGGCCTGTTGGTCCTATGGACCGGTTGGACCAACTGGCCTGTTGGTCCTATGGACCGGTTGGACCAACTGGCCTGTTGGTCCTATGGACCGGTTGGACCAACTGGCCTGTTGGTCCTATGGACCGGTTGGACCAACTGGCCTGTTGGTCCTATGGACCGGTTGGACCAACTGGCCTGTTGGTCCTATGGACCGGTTGGACCAACTGGCCTGTTGGTCCTATGGACCGGTTGGACCAACTGGCCTGTTGGTCCTATGGACCGGTTGGACCAACTGGCCTGTTGGTCCTATGGACCGGTTGGACCAACTGGCCTGTTGGTCCTATGGACCGGTTGGACCAACTGGCCTGTTGGTCCTATGGACCGGTTGGACCAACTGGCCTGTTGGTCCTATGGACCGGTTGGACCAACTGGCCTGTTGGTCCTATGGACCGGTTGGACCAACTGGCCTGTTGGTCCTATGGACCGGTTGGACCAACTGGCCTGTTGGTCCTATGGACCGGTTGGACCAACTGGCCTGTTGGTCCTATGGACCGGTTGGACCAACTGGCCTGTTGGTCCTATGGACCGGTTGGACCAACTGGCCTGTTGGTCCTATGGACCGGTTGGACCAACTGGCCTGTTGGTCCTATGGACCGGTTGGACCAACTGGCCTGTTGGTCCTATGGACCGGTTGGACCAACTGGCCTGTTGGTCCTATGGACCGGTTGGACCAACTGGCCTGTTGGTCCTATGGACCGGTTGGACCAACTGGCCTGTTGGTCCTATGGACCGGTTGGACCAACTGGCCTGTTGGTCCTATGGACCGGTTGGACCAACTGGCTGTTGGTCCTATGGACCGGTTGGACCAACTGGCCTGTTGGTCCTATGGACCGGTTGGACCAACTGGCCTGTTGGTCCTATGGACCGGTTGGACCAACTGGCCTGTTGGTCCTATGGACCGGTTGGACCAACTGGCCTGTTGGTCCTATGGACCGGTTGGACCAACTGGCCTGTTGGTCCTATGGACCGGTTGGACCAACTGGCCTGTTGGCCTATGGACCGGTTGGACCAACTGGCATGTTGGTCCTATGGACCGGTTGGACCAACTGGCCTGTTGGTCCTATGGACCGGTTGGACCAACTGGCCTGTTGGTCCTATGGACCGGTTGGACCAACTGGCCATGTTGGTCCTATGGACCGGTTGGACCAACTGGCCTGTTGGTCCTATGGACCGGTTGGACCAACTGGCCTGTTGGTCCTATGGACCGGTTGGACCAACTGGCCTGTTGGTCCTATGGACCGGTTGGACCAACTGGCCTGTTGGTCCTATGGACCGGTTGGACCAACTGGCTGTTGGTCCTATGGACCGGTTGGACCAACTGGCTGTTGGTCCTATGGACCGGTTGGACCAACTGGCCTGTTGGTCCTATGGACCGGTTGGACCAACTGGCCTGTTGGTCCTATGGACCGGTTGGACCAACTGGCCTGTTGGTCCTATGGACCGGTTGGACCAACTGGCCTGTTGGTCCTATGGACCGGTTGGACCAACTGGCCTGTTGGTCCTATGGACCGGTTGGACCAACTGGCCTGTTGGTCCTATGGACCGGTTGGACCAACTGGCCTGTTGGTCCTATGGACCGGTTGGACCAACTGGCCTGTTGGTCCTATGGACCGGTTGGACCAACTGGCCTGTTGGTCCTATGGACCGGTTGGACCAACTGGCCTGTTGGTCCTATGGACCGGTTGGACCAACTGGCCTGTTGGTCCTATGGACCGGTTGGACCAACTGGCCTGTTGGTCCTATGGACCGGTTGGACCAACTGGCCTGTTGGTCCTATGGACCGGTTGGACCAACTGGCCTGTTGGTCCTATGGACCGGTTGGACCAACTGGCCTGTTGGTCCTATGGACCGGTTGGACCAACTGGCCTGTTGGTCCTATGGACCGGTTGGACCAACTGGCCTGTTGGTCCTATGGACCGGTTGGACCAACTGGCCTGTTGGTCCTATGGACCGGTTGGACCAACTGGCCTGTTGGTCCTATGGACCGGTTGGACCAACTGGCCTGTTGGTCCTATGGACCGGTTGGACCAACTGGCCTGTTGGTCCTATGGACCGGTTGGACCAACTGGCCTGTTGGTCCTATGGACCGGTTGGACCAACTGGCCTGTTGGTCCTATGGACCGGTTGGACCAACTGGCCTGTTGGTCCTATGGACCGGTTGGACCAACTGGCCTGTTGGTCCTATGGACCGGTTGGACCAACTGGCCTGTTGGTCCTATGGACCGGTTGGACCAACTGGCCTGTTGGTCCTATGGACCGGTTGGACCAACTGGCCTGTTGGTCCTATGGACCGGTTGGACCAACTGGCCTGTTGGTCCTATGGACCGGTTGGACCAACTGGCCTGTTGGTCCTATGGACCGGTTGGACCAACTGGCCTGTTGGTCCTATGGACCGGTTGGACCAACTGGCCTGTTGGTCCTATGGACCGGTTGGACCAACTGGCCTGTTGGTCCTATGGACCGGTTGGACCAACTGGCCTGTTGGTCCTATGGACCGGTTGGACCAACTGGCCTGTTGGTCCTATGGACCGGTTGGACCAACTGGCCTGTTGGTCCTATGGACCGGTTGGACCAACTGGCCTGTTGGTCCTATGGACCGGTTGGACCAACTGGCCTGTTGGTCCTATGGACCGGTTGGACCAACTGGCCTGTTGGTCCTATGGACCGGTTGGACCAACTGGCCTGTTGGTCCTATGGACCGGTTGGACCAACTGGCCTGTTGGTCCTATGGACCGGTTGGACCAACTGGCCTGTTGGTCCTATGGACCGGTTGGACCAACTGGCCTGTTGGTCCTATGGACCGGTTGGACCAACTGGCCTGTTGGTCCTATGGACCGGTTGGACCAACTGGCCTGTTGGTCCTATGGACCGGTTGGACCAACTGGCCTGTTGGTCCTATGGACCGGTTGGACCAACTGGCCTGTTGGTCCTATGGACCGGTTGGACCAACTGGCCTGTTGGGCCGTATGGACCGGTTGGACCAACTGGCCTGTTGGTCCTATGGACCGGTTGGACCAACTGGCCTGTTGGTCCTATGGACCGGTTGGACCAACTGGCCTGTTGGTCCTATGGACCGGTTGGACCAACTGGCCTGTTGGTCCTATGGACCGGTTGGACCAACTGGCCTGTTGGTCCTATGGACCGGTTGGACCAACTGGCCTGTGGTCCTATGGACCGGTTGGACCAACTGGCCTGTTGGTCCTATGGACCGGTTGGACCAACTGGCCTGTTGGTCCTATGGACCGGTTGGACCAACTGGCCTGTTGGTCCTATGGACCGGTTGGACCAACTGGCCTGTTGGTCCTATGGACCGGTTGGACCAACTGGCCTGTTGGTCCTATGGACCGGTTGGACCAACTGGCCTGTTGGTCCTATGGACCGGTTGGACCAACTGGCCTGTTGGTCCTATGGACCGGTTGGACCAACTGGCCTGTTGGTCCTATGGACCGGTTGGACCAACTGGCCGTTGGTCCTTATGGACCGGTTGGACCAAATGGCCTGTTGGTCCTATGGACGGTTGGACCAACTGGCCTGTTGGTCCTATGGACCGGTTGGACCAACTGGCCTGTTGGTCCTATGGACCGGTTGGACCAACTGGCTGTTGGTCCTATGGACCGGTTGGACCAACTGGCCTGTTGGTCCTATGGACCGGTGGACCAACGGCCTGTGGTCCTATGGACCGGTTGGACCAACTGGCCTGTTGGCCCTATGGACCGGTTGGACCAACTGGCTGTTGGCCGACCCGGACCGAATGGGACGGGTTGGACCAACCCAACTGGCCTGTTGGTCCTATGGACCGGTTGGACCAACTGGCCTGTTGGTCCTATGGACCGGTTGGACCAACTGGCCTGTTGGTCCTATGGACCGGTTGGACCAACTGGCCTGTTGGTCCTATGGACCGGTTGGACCAACTGGCCTGTTGGTCCTATGGACCGGTTGGACCAACTGGCCTGTTGGTCCTATGGACCGGTTGGACCAACTGGCATGTTGGTCCTATGGACCGGTTGGACCAACTGGCCTGTTGGTCCTATGGACCGGTTGGACCAACTGGCCTGTTGGTCCTATGGACCGGTTGGACCAACTGGCCTGTTGGTCCTATGGACCGGTTGGACCACAACTGGCCTGTTGGTCCTATGGACCGGTTGGACCAACTGGCCTGTTGGCCTATGGACGGTTGGACCAACTGGCCTGTTGGTCCTATGGACCGGTTGGGACCAACTGGCCTGTTGGTCCTATGGACCGGTGGACCAACTGGCCTGTTGGTCCTATGGACCGGTTGGACCAACTGGCCTGTTGGTCCTATGGACCGGTTGGACCAACTGGCCTGTTGGTCCTATGGACCGGTTGGACCAACTGGCCTGTTGGTCCTATGGACCGGTTGGACCAACTGGCCTGTTGGTCCTATATGGACCGGTTGGACCAACTGGCCTGTTGGTCTATGGACCGGTTGGACCAACTGGCCTGTTGGTCCTATGGACCGGTTGGACCAACTGGCTGTTGGTCCTATGGACCGGTTGGACCAACTGGCCTGTTGGTCCTATGGACCGGTTGGACCAACTGGCCTGTTGGTCCTATGGACCGGTTGGACCAACTGGCATGTTGGCCGAATGGACCGGTTGGACCAACTGGCATGTTGGTCCTATGGACCGGTTGGACCAACTGGCCTGTTGGTCCTATGGACCGGTTGGACCAACTGGCCTGTTGGTCCTATGGACCGGTTGGACCAACTGGCCTGTTGGTCCTGTGGACCGGCTTGGTCCTCCCCTCGGTCCTTGGACCAACTGGTGCCTGTTGGTCCTATGGACCGGTTGGACCAACTGGCCTGTTGGTCCTATGGACCGGTTGGACCAACTGGCCTGTTGGTCCTATGGACGGTTGGACCAACTGGCTGTTGGTCCTGTGGACCGTTGGACCAACTGGCCTGTTGGTCTATGGACCGGTTGGACCAACTGGCCTGTTGGTCCTGGACCGGTTGGACCAACTGGCTGTTGGTCCTATGGACCGGTTGGACCAACTGGCCTGTTGGTCCTATGGACCGGTTGGACCAACTGGCCTGTTGGTCCTGTGGACCGGTTGGACCAACTGGCCTGTTGGTCCTATGGACCGGTTGGACCAACTGGCCTGTTGGTCCTATGGACCGGTTGGACCAACTGGCCTGTTGGTCCTGTGGACCGGGTGGACCAACCTGTTGGTCCTATGGATGGGACCAACTGGCCTGTTGGTCCTGTGGACCGGTTGGACCAACTGGCCTGTTGGTCCTGTGGACCGGTTGGACCAACTGGCCTGTTGGTCCTATGGACGGTTGGACCAACTGGCCTGTTGGTCCTGTGGACCGGTTGGACCAACTGGCCTGTTGGTCCTGGGACCGGTTGGACCAACTGGCCTGTTGGTCCTGTGGACCGGTTGGACCAACTGGCCTGTTGGTCCTATGGACGGGTTGGACCAACTGGCCTGTTGGTCCTATGGACCGGTTGGACCAACTGGCCTGTTGGTCCTATGGGACCGGTTGGACCAACTGGCCTGTTGGTCCTATGGACCGGTTGGACCAACTGGCCTGTTGGTCCTGTGGACCGTTGGACCAACTGGCCTGTTGGTCCTGTGGACCGGTTGGACCAACTGGCCTGTTGGTCCTATGGACCGGTTGGACCAACTGGCCTGTTGGTCCTATGGACCGGTTGGACCAACTGGCTGTTGGTCCTATGGGACCGGTTGGACCAACTGGCCTGTTGGTCCTATGGACCGGTTGGACCAACTGGCCTGTCGGTCCTATGGACCGGTGGGACCAACTGGCCTGTTGGTCCTATGGACGGTTGGACCAACTGGCCTGTGGTCCTATGGACCGGTTGGACCAACTGGCCTGTTGTCCTATGGACCGGTTGGACCAACTGGCCTGTTGGTCCTATGGACGGTTGGACCAACTGGCCTGTTGGTCCTATGGACCGGTTGGACCAACTGGCAGTTGGTCCTATGGACCGGTTGGACCAACTGGCCTGTTGGTCCTATGGACCGGTTGGACCAACTGGCCTGTTGGTCCTGTGGACCGGTTGGACCAACTGGCCTGTTGGTCCTGTGGACCGGTTGGACCAACTGGCCTGTTGGTCCTATGGACCGGTTGGACCAACTGGCCTGTTGGTCCTATGGACCGGTTGGGACCAACTGGCCTGTCGGTCCTATGGACCGGTTGGACCAACTGGCCTGTGGTCCACCTGACCCCTCCCCTTCCATATGACCGGTTGGACCAACTGGCCTGTTGGTCCTGTGGACCGGTTGGACCCAACTGGCCTGTTGGTCCTATGGACCGGTTGGACCAACTGGCCTGTTGGTCCTATGGACCGGTTGGACCAACTGGCCTGTTGGTCCTGTGACCGGTTGGACCAACTGGCCTGTTGGTCCTATGGACCGGTTGGACCAACTGGCCTGTTGGTCCTATGGACCGGTTGGACCAACTGGCTGTTGGTCCTATGGACCGGTTGGACCAACTGGCCTGTTGGTCCTATGGACCGGTTGGACCAACTGGCCTGTTGGTCCTATGGACCGGTTGGACCAACTGGCCTGTTGGCCTATGGACCGGTTGGACCAACTGGCTGTTGGTCCTAAGGACCGGTTGGACCAACTGGCCTGTTGGTCCTATGGACCGGTTGGACCAACTGGCCTGTTGGTCCTATGGACCGGTTGGACCAACTGGCCTGTTGGTCCTATGGACCGGTTGGACCAACTGGCCTGTTGGTCCTATGGACCGGTTGGACCAACTGGCCTGTTGGTCCTTTGGACCGGTTGGACCAACTGGCCTGTTGGTCCTATGGACCGGTTGGACCAACTGGCCTGTTGGTCCTATGGACCGGTTGGACCAACTGGCCTGTTGGTCCTATGGACCGGTTGGACCAACTGGCCTGTTGGCCCTATGGACCGGTTGGACCAACTGGCCTGTTGGTCCGAATGGACCGGTTGGACCAACTGGCCTGTTGGTCCTATGGACCGGTGGACCAACTGGCCTGTTGGTCCTATGGACCGGTTGGACCAACTGGCCTGTTGGTCCTATGGACCGGTTGGACCAACTGGCCTGTTGTCCTGTGGACCGGTTGGACCAACTGGCCTGTTGGTCCTGGGACCGGTTGGACCAACTGGCCTGTTGGTCCTATGGACCGGTTGGACCAACTGGCCTGTTGGTCCTGTGGACCGGTTGGACCAACTGGCCTGTTGGTCCTATGGATCGGTTGGACCAACTGGCCTGTTGGCCGAATGGACCGGTTGGACCAACTGGCCTGTTGGTCCTATGGACCGGTTGGACCAACTGGCCTGTTGGTCCAATGGACCGGTTGGACCAACTGGCCTGTCGGTCCTATGGACCGGTTGGACCAACTGGCCTGTTGGTCCTGTGGACCGGTTGGACCAACTGGCCTGTTGGTCCTGTGGACCGGTTGGACCAACTGGCCTGTTGGTCCTGTGGACCGGTTGGACCAACTGGCCTGTTGGTCCTGTGGACCGGTTGGACCAACTGGCCTGTTGGTCCTATGGACCGGTGGACCAACTGGCCTGTTGGTCCTATGGACCGGTTGGACCAACTGGCCTGTTGGTCCTATGGACCGGTTGGACCAACTGGCCTGTTGGTCCTGTGGACCGGTTGGACCAACTGGCCTGTTGGTCCTGTGGACCGGTTGGACCAACTGGCCTGTTGGTCCTGTGGACCGGTTGGACCAACTGGCCTGTTGGTCCTGTGGACCGGTTGGACCAACTGGCCTGTTGGTCCTGTGGACCGGTTGGACCAACTGGCATGTTGGTCCTATGGACCGGTTGGACCAACTGGCCTGTTGGTCCTATGGACCGGTTGGACCAACTGGCCTGTTGGTCCTGTGGACCGGTTGGACCAACTGGCCTGTTGGTCCTATGGACCGGGTTGGACCAACTGGCCTGTCGGTCCTATGGACCGGTTGGACCAACTGGCCTGTTGGTCCTATGGACCGGTTGGACCAACTGGCCTGTTGGTCCTATGGACCGGTTGGACCAACTGGCCTGTTGGTCCTATGGACGGTTGGACCAACTGGCCTGTTGGTCCTATGGACCGGTTGGACCAACTGGCCTGTTGGTCCCCCATGGACCGGTTGGACCAAACTGGCCTGTTGGTCCTATGGACGGTTGGACCAACTGGCCTGTTGGTCCTATGGACGGTTGGACCAACTGGCTGTTGGTCCTATGGACCGGTTGGACCAACTGGCCTGTTGGTCCTATGGACCGGTTGGACCAACTGGCCTGTTGGTCCTATGGACCGGTTGGACCAACTGGCCTGTTGGTCCTATGGACCGGTTGGACCAACTGGCCTGTTGGTCCTGTGGACCGGTTGGACCAACTGGCCTGTGGTCCTATGGACCGGTTGGACCAACTGGCCTGTTGGTCCTGTGGACCGGTTGGACCAACTGGCCTGTTGGTCCTATGGACCGGTTGGACCAACTGGCCTGTTGGTCGAATGGACCGGTTGGACCAACTGGCCTGTTGGTCCTATGGACCGGTTGGACCAACTGGCCTGTTGGTCCATGGGACCGGTTGGACCAACTGGCCTGTTGGTCCTATGGACGGTTGGACCAACTGGCCTGTTGGTCCTGTGGACCGGTTGGACCAACTGGCCTGTTGGTCCTATGGCCGGTTGGACCAACTGGCCTGTTGGTCCTGTGGACCGGTTGGACCAACTGGCCTGTTGGTCCTGTGGACCGGTTGGACCAACTGGCCTGTTGTCCTGTGGACCGGTTGGACCAACTGGCCTGTTGGTCCTATGGACCGGTTGACCAACTGGCCTGTTGGTCCTATGGACCGGTTGGACCAACTGGCCTGTTGGTCCTGTGGACCGGTTGGACCAACTGGCCTGTTGGTCCTATGGACCGGTTGGACCAACTGGCCTGTTGGTCCTGTGGACCGGTTGGACCAACTGGCCTGTTGGTCCTATGGACCGGTTGGACCAACTGGCCTGTCGGTCCTATGGACCGGTTGGACCAACTGGACCTCGGCCCTTGTTTCCTGTGGACCGGTTGGACCAACTGGCCTGTTGGTCCTATGGACCGGTTGGACCAACTGGCCTGTTGGTCCTGTGGACCGGTTGGACCAACTGGCCTGTTGGTCCTGTGGACCGGTTGGACCAACTGGCCTGTTGGTCCTGTGGACCGGTTGGACCAACTGGCCTGTTGGTCCTATGGACCGGTTGGACCAACTGGCCTGTTGGTCCTGGGACCGGTTGGACCAACTGGCCTGTTGGTCCTATGGACGGTTGGACCAACTGGCCTGTTGGTCCTATGGACCGGTTGGACCAACTGGCCTGTTGGTCCTATGGACCGGTTGGACCAACTGGCCTGTTGGTCCTATGGACCGGTTGGACCAACTGGCCTGTTGGTCCGAATGGACCGGTTGGACCAACTGGCCTGTTGGTCCTATGGACGGTTGGACCAACTGGCCTGTCGGTCCAATGGACCGGTTGGACCAACTGGCCGTTGGTCCTATGGACCGGTGGACCAACTGGCCTGTTGGTCCTGTGGACCGGTTGGACCAACTGGCCTGTTGGTCCTATGGACCGGTTGGACCAACTGGCCTGTTGGTCCTGTGGACCGGTTGGACCAACTGGCCTGTTGGTCCTGTGGACCGGTTGGACCAAAGGCCTGTTGGTCCTATGGACCGGTTGGACCAACTGGCCTGTTGGTCCGTGGACCGGTTGGACCAACTGGCCTGTTGGTCCTGTGGACCGGTTGGACCAACTGGCCTGTTGGTCCTGTGGACCGGTTGGACCAACTGGCCTGTTGGTCCTATGGACCGTTGGACCAACTGGCCTGTTGGTCCTATGGACCGGTTGGACCAACTGGCCTGTTGGTCCTATGGACCGGTTGGACCAACTGGCCTGTTGGTCCTATGGACCGGTTGGACCAACTGGCCTGTTGGTCCTATGGACCGGTTGGACCAACTGGCCTGTTGGTCCTGTGGACCGGTTGGACCAACTGGCCTGTTGGTCCTGTGGACCGGTTGGACCAACTGGCCTGTTGGTCCTGTGGACCGGTTGGACCAACTGGCCTGTTGGTCCTGTGGACCGGTTGGACCAACTGGCCTGTTGGTCCTATGGACCGGTTGGACCAACTGGCCTGTTGGTCCTATGGACCGGTTGGACCAACTGGCCTGTTGGTCCTATGGACCGGTTGGACCAACTGGCCTGTTGGCCTATGGGACCGGTTGGACCAACTGGCCTGTTGGCCGAATGGACCGGTTGGACCAACTGGCCTGTTGGTCCTATGGACCGGTTGGACCAACTGGCCTGTTGGTCCTATGGACCGGTTGGACCAACTGGCCTGTTGGTCCTATGGACCGGTTGGACCAACTGGCCTGTTGGTCCTATGGACCGGTTGGACCAACTGGCCTGTTGGTCCTGTGGACCGGTTGGACCAACTGGCCTGTTGGTCCTGTGGACCGGTTGGACCAACTGGCCTGTTGGTCCTATGGACCGGTTGGACCAACTGGCCTGTTGGTCCTATGGACCGGTTGGACCAACTGGCCTGTTGGTCCTGTGGACCGGTTGGACCAACTGGCCTGTTGGTCCTATGGACCGGTTGGACCAACTGGCCTGTTGGCCGAATGGACCGGTTGGACCAACTGGCCTGTTGGCCGAATGGACCGGTTGGACCAACTGGCCTGTTGGTCCTATGGACCGGTTGGACCAACTGGCCTGTCGTCTTTCCGTCCAATGGACGGTTGGACCAACTGGCCTGTTGGTCCTATGGACGGTTGGACCAACTGGCCTGTTGGTCCTGTGGACCGGTGGACCAACTGGCCTGTTGGTCTATGGACCGGTTTGGACCAACTGGCCTGTTGGTCCTATGGACGGTTGGACCAACTGGCCTGTTGGTCCTGTGGACCGGTTGGACCAACTGGCCTGTTGGTCCTATGGACCGGTTGGACCAACTGGCCTGTTGGTCCTATGGGACCGGTTGGACCAACTGGCCTGTTGGTCCTATGGACCGGTTGGACCAACTGGCCTGTGGTCCTATGGACCGGTTGGACCAACTGGCCTGTTGGTCCTATGGACCGGTTGGACCAACTGGCCTGTTGGTCCTATGGACCGGTTGGACCAACTGGCCTGTGGTCCTAGGGACCGGTTGGACCAACTGGCCTGTTGGTCCTGTGGACCGGTTTGGACCAACTGGCCTGTTGGTCCTATGGACCGGTTGGACCAACTGGCCTGTTGGTCCTATGGACCGGTTGGACCAACTGGCCTGTTGGTCCTATGGACCGGTTGGACCAACTGGCCTGTTGGTCCTATGGACCGGTTGGACCAACTGGCCTGTTGGTCCTATGGACCGGTTGGACCAACTGGCCTGTTGGTCCTATGGACCGGTTGGACCAACTGGCCTGTTGGTCCTATGGACCGGTTGGACCAACTGGCCTGTTGGCCTAATGGACCGGTTGGACCAACTGGCCTGTTGGTCCTATGGACCGGTTGGACCAACTGGCCTGTGGTCCGAATGGACCGGTTGGACCAACTGGCCTGTTGGTCCTATGGACCGGTTGGACCAACTGGCCTGTTGGTCCTATGGACCGGTTGGACCAACTGGCCTGTTGGTCCTATGGACCGGTTGGACCAACTGGCCTGTGGTCCTGTGGACCGGTTGGACCAACTGGCCTGTTGGTCCTATGGACCGGTTGGACCAACTGGGCCTGTTGGTCCTATGGACCGGTTGGACCAACTGGCCTGTTGGTCCTATGGACCGGTTGGACCAACTGGTCTGTTGGTCCTATGGACCGGTTGGACCAACTGGCCTGTTGGTCCTGTGGACCGGTAGGACCAACTGGCCTGTTGGTCCTTTGGACCGGTTGGACCAACTGGCCTGTTGGTCCTGTGGACCGGTTGGACCAACTGGCCTGTTGGTCCTATGGACCGGTTGGACCAACTGGCCTGTTGGTCCTATGGACCGGTTGGACCAACTGGCCTGTTGGCCCTATGGGACCGGTTGGACCAACTGGCCTGTTGGCCGAATGGAGACGGTTGGACCAACTGGCCTGTTGGTCCTATGGATCGGTTGGACCAACTGGCCTGTTGGTCCTATGGACCGGTTGGACCAACTGGCCAGCGGGTCCTTGGACCGGTTGGACCAACTGGCCTGTTGGTCCTGTGGACCGGTTGGACCAACTGGCCTGTTGGTCCTGTGGACCGGTTGGACCAACTGGCCTGTTGGTCCTTTGGAACCGGTTGGACCAACTGGCCTGTTGGTCCTGTGGACCGGTTGGACCAACTGGCCTGTTGGTCCTATGGACGGTTGGACCAACTGGCCTGTTGGCCGTATGGACCGGTTGGACCAACTGGCCTGTTGGTCCTATGGACGGTTGGACCAACTGGCCTGTCGGTCCTATGGACCGGTTGGACCAACTGGCCTGTTGGTCCTATGGACCGGTTGGACCAACTGGCCTGTTGGTCCTATGGACCGGTTGGACCAACTGGCCTGTTGGTCCTGTGGACCGGTTGGACCAACTGGCCTGTTGGTCCTGTGGACCGGTTGGACCAACTGGCCTGTTGGTCCTGTGGACCGGTTGGACCAACTGGCCTGTTGGTCCTGTGGACCGGTTGGACCAACTGGCCTGTGGGTCTATGGACCGGTTGGACCAACTGGCCTGTTGGTCCTATGGACCGGTTGGACCAACTGGCCTGTTGGTCCTGTGGACCGGTTGGACCAATGGCCTGTTGGTCCTGTGGACCGGTTGGACCAACTGGCCTGTTGGTCCTGTGGACCGGTTGGACCAACTGGCCTGTTGGTCCTATGGACCGGTTGGACCAACTGGCCTGTCGGTCCTATGGACCGGTGGGACCAACTGGCCAGTCGGTCCTATGGACCGGTTGGACCAACTGGCCAGTCGGTCCTATGGACCGGTTGGACCAACTGGCCTGTTGGTCCTGTGGACCGGTTGGACCAACTGGCCTGTTGGTCCTGTGGACCGGTTGGACCAACTGGCCTGTTGGTCCTGTGGACCGGTTGGACCAACTGGCCTGTTGGTCCTGTGGACCGGTTGGACCAACTGGCCTGTTGGTCCTATGGACCGGTTGGACCAACTGGCCTGTTGGTCCTATGGACCGGTTGGACCAACTGGCCTGTTGGTCCTATGGACCGGTTGGACCAACTGGCCTGTTGGTCCTGTGGACCGGTTGGACCAACTGGCCTGTTGGTCCTGTGGACCGGTTGGACCAACTGGCCTGTTGGGCCGATGGACCGGTTGGACCAACTGGCCTGTTGGTCCTATGGACCGGTTGGACCAACTGGCCTGTTGGTCCTATGGACCGGTTGGACCAACTGGCATGTTGGTCCTATGGACGGTTGGACCAACTGGCCTGTTGGTCCTATGGACCGGTTGGACCAACTGGCCTGTTGGGTCCTGTGGACCGGTTGGACCAACTGGCCTGTTGGTCCGTGGACCGGTTGGACCAACTGGCCTGTTGGTCCTATGGACCGGTTGGACCAACTGGCCTGTTGGTCCTATGGACCGGTTGGACCAACTGGCCTGTTGGTCCTATGGACCGGTTGGACCAATGGCCTGTTGGTCCTATGGACCGGTTGGACCAACTGGCATGTTGGTCCTATGGGACGGTTGGACCAAACTGGCCTGTTGGTCCTATGGACCGGTTGGACCAACTGGCCTGTTGGTCCTGTGGACCGGTTGGACCAACTGGCCTGTTGGTCCTATGGACCGGTTGGACCAACTGGCCTGTTGGTCCTGTGGACCGGTTGGACCAACTGGCCTGTTGGTCCTGTGGAACGTTTGGACCAACTGGCCTGTTGGTCCTATGGACCGGTTGGACCAACTGGCCTGTGGTCCTATGACCGGTTGGACCAACTGGCCTGTGGTCCTGTGGACCGGTTGGACCAACTGGCCTGTTGGTCCTGTGGACCGGTTGGACCAACTGGCCTGTTGGTCCTGTGGACCGGTTGGACCAACTGGCCTGTTGGTCCTATGGATCGGTTGGACCAACTGGCCTGTCGGTCCTATGGACCGGTTGGACCAAACTGGCCAGTCGGTCCTATGGACCGGTTGGACCAACTGGCTGTTGGTCCTATGGACGGTTGGACCAACTGGCCTGTTGGTCCTGGGACCGGTTGGACCAACTGGCCTGTTGGTCCTGTGGACCGGTTGGACCAACTGGCCTGTTGGTCCTGTGGACCGGTTGGACCAACTGGCATGTTGGTCCTGTGGACCGGTTGGACCAACTGGCCTGTCGGTCCTATGGACCGGTTGGACCAACTGGCCAGTTGGTCCTATGGACCGGTTGGACCAACTGGCCTGTTGGTCCTATGGACGGTTGGACCAACTGGCTGTGGTCCTATGGACCGGTTGGACCAACTGGCCTGTTGGCCGATGGACCGGTTGGACCAACTGGCCTGTTGGTCCTATGGACGGGTTGGACCAACTGGCCTGTCGGTCCAATGGACTGTCCGGTTGGACCAACTGGCCAGTCGGTCCTATGGACCGGTTTGGACCAACTGGCCTGTTGGTCCTGTGGACCGGTTGGACCAACTGGCCTGTTGGTCCTATGGGGACCGGTTGGACCAACTGGCCTGTTGGTCCTATGGACCGGTTGGACCAACTGGCCTGTTGGTCCTATGGACCGGTTGGGACCAACTGGCCTGTTGGCCTATGGACCGGTTGGGACCAACTGGCCTGTTGGCCCCGAATGGGACCGGTTGGACCAACTGGACCTGTTGGTCCTATGGACCGGTTGGACCAACTGGCCTGTTGGTCCTATGGACCGGTTGGACCAACTGGCCTGTTGGTCCTATGGACCGGTTGGACCAACTGGCCTGTTGGTCCTATGGACCGGTTGGACCAACTGGCCTGTTGGTCCCTATGGACCGGTTGGACCAACTGGCCTGTTGGTCCTATGGACCGGTTGGACCAACTGGCATGTTGGTCCTATGGACCGGTTGGACCAACTGGCCTGTTGGTCCTATGGACCGGTTGGACCAACTGGCCGTTGGTCCTATGGACCGGTTGGACCAACTGGCCTGTTGGTCCTATGGACCGGTTGGACCAACTGGCCTGTTGGTCCTATGGACCGGTTGGACCAACTGGCCTGTTGGTCCTATGGACCGGTTGGACCAACTGGCCTGTTGGTCCTATGGACCGGTTGGACCAACTGGCCTGTGGTCCTATGGACCGGTTGGACCAACTGGCCTGTTGGTCCTATGGACCGGTTGGACCAACTGGCATGTTGGTCCTATGGACCGGTTGGACCAACTGGCCTGTTGGTCCTAGACCGGTTGGACCAACTGGCCTGTTGGTCCTGTGGACCGTTGGACCAACTGGCCTGTTGTCCTGTGGACCGGTTGGCCAACCAACTGGCCTGTTGGTCCTGTGGACCGGTTGGACCAAACTGGCCTGTTGGTCCTGTGGACCGGTTGGACCAACTGGCCTGTTGGTCCTATGGACCGGTTGGACCAACTGGCCTGTCGGTCCTATGGACCGGTTGGACCAACTGGCCTGTTGGTCCTAGGACCGGTTGGACCAACTGGCCTGTTGGTCCTGTGGACCGGTTGGACCAACTGGCCTGTTGGTCCTGTGGACCGGTTGGACCAACTGGCCTGTTGGTCCTGTGGACCGGTTGGACCAACTGGCCTGTTGGCCCTATGGACCGGTTGGACCAACTGGCCTGTTGGTCCTATGGACCGGTTGGACCAACTGGCCTGTTGGTCCTATGGACCGGTTGGACCAACTGGCCTGTCGGTCCTATGGACCGGTTTGGACCAACTGGCCTGTTGGTCCTATGGACCGGTTGGACCAACTGGCCTGTTGGTCCTGGGAACGGTTGGACCAACTGGCCTGTTGGTCCTGTGGACCGGTTGGACCAACTGGCCTGTTGGTCCTATGGACCGGTTGGACCAACTGGCCTGTTGGTCCTATGGACCGGTTGGACCAACTGGCCTGTTGGTCCTATGGACCGGTTGGACAACTGGCCTGTTGGTCTATTGGACGGTTGGGACCAACTGGCTGTTGGTCCTGTGGACCGGTTGGACAACTGGCCTGTTGGTCCTGTGGACCGGTTGGACCAACTGGCCTGTTGGCCGAATGGACCGGTTGGACCAACTGGCCTGTTGGTCCTATGGACCGGTTGGACCAACTGGCCTGTCGGTCCAATGGACCGGTTGGACCAACTGGCCTGTCGGTCCTATGTTTTTTTTGGTTATGGACCGGTTGGACCAACTGGCCTGTTGGTCCTGTGGACCGGTTGGACCAACTGGCCTGTTGGTCCTGTGGACCGGTAGGACCAACTGGCCTGTTGGTCCTTTGGACCGGTTGGACCAACTGGCCTGTTGGTCCTGTGGACCGGTTGGACCAACTGGCCTGTTGGTCCTATGGACCGGTTGGACCAACTGGCCTGTTGGTCCTATGGATCGGTTGGACCAACTGGCCTGTTGGCCTATGGGACCGGTTGGACCAACTGGCCTGTTGGCCGAATGGACCGGTTGGACCAACTGGCCTGTTGGTCCTATGGATCGGTTGGACCAACTGGCCTGTCGGTCCAATGGACCGGTTGGACCAACTGGCCAGTCGGTCCTATGGACCGGTTGGACCAACTGGCCTGTTGGTCCTGTGGACCGGTTGGACCAACTGGCCTGTTGGTCCTGTGGACCGGTTGGACCAACTGGCCTGTTGGTCCTATGGACCGGTTGGACCAACTGGCCTGTTGGTCCTGTGGACCGGTTGGACCAACTGGCCTGTTGGTCCTATGGACCGGTTGGACCAACTGGCCTGTTGGTCCTATGGACCGGTTGGAGCAACTGGCCTGTTGGTCCTATGGACCGGTTGGACCAACTGGCATGTTGGTCCTATGGACCGGTTGGACCAACTGGCCTTTTGGCCGAATGGACCGGTTGGACCAACTGGCCTGTTGGTCCTATGGACCGGTTGGACCAACTGGCCTGTGGTCCGAATGGACCGGTTGGACCAACTGGCCTGTTGGTCCTATGGATCGGTTGGACCAACTGGCCTGTCGGTCCTATGGACCGGTTGGACCAACTGGCCAGTCGGTCCTATGGACCGGTTGGACCAACTGGCCTGTTGGTCCTGTGGACCGGTTGGACCAACGGCTGTTGGTCCTATGGACCGGTTGGACCAACTGGCCTGTTGGTCCTGTGGACCGGTTGGACCAACTGGCCTGTTGGTCCTGTGGACCGGTTGGACCAACTGGTCTGTTGGTCCTTTGGACCGGTTGGACCAACTGGCCTGTTGGTCCTGTGGACCGGTAGGACCAACTGGCCTGTTGGTCCTTTGGACCGGTTGGACCAACTGGCCTGTGGGTCCTGTGGACCGGTTGGACCAACTGGCCTGTTGGTCCTATGGACCGGTTGGACCAACTGGCCTGTTGGTCCTATGGATCGGTTGGACCAACTGGCCTGTTGGCCCTATGGACCGGTTGGACCAACTGGCCTGTTGGCCGAATGGACCGGTTGGACCAACTGGCCTGTTGGTCCTATGGATCGGTTGGACCAACTGGCCTGTCGGTCCAATGGACCGGTTGGACCAACTGGCCAGTCGGTCCTATGGACCGGTTGGACCAACCGGCCTGTTGGTCCTGTGGACCGGTAGGACCAACTGGCCTGTTGGTCCTGTGGACCGGTAGGACCAACTGGCCTGTTGGTCCTTTGGACCGGTTGGACCAACTGGCCTGTTGGTCCTGTGGACCGGTTGGACCAACTGGCCTGTTGGCCCTATGGACCGGTTGGACCAACTGGCCTGTTGGCCGAATGGACCGGTTGGACCAACTGGCCTGTTGGTCCTATGGATCGGTTGGACCAACTGGCCTGTCGGTCCAATGGACCGGTTGGACCAACTGGCCAGTCGGTCCTATGGACCGGTTGGACCAACTGGCCTGTTGGTCCTGTGGACCGGTTGGACCAACTGGCCTGTTGGTCCTGTGGACCGGTTGGACCAACTGGCCTGTTGGTCCTGTGGACCGGTTGGACCAACTGGCCTGTTGGTCCTATGGACCGTTTGGACCAACTGGCCTGTTGGTCCTATGGACCGGTTGGACCAACTGGCCTGTTGGTCCTATGGACCGGTTGGACCAACTGGCCTGTCGGTCAATGGACCGGTTGGACCAATGGCCTGTTGGTCCTATGGACCGGTTGGACCAACTGGCCTGTTGGTCTATGGACCGGTTGGACCAACTGGCATGTTGGTCCTATGGACCGGTTGGACCAACTGGCCTGTGGCCTGATGGGACCGGTTGGACCAACTGGCCTGTTGGTCCTATGGACGGTTGGACCAACTGGCCTGTTGGTCCTATGGACCGGTTGGACCAACTGGCCTGTTGGTCCTATGGACGGTGGACCAACTGGCCTGTTGGTCCTATGGACCGTTGGACCAACTGGCCTGTTGGTCCCTATGGACCGGTTGGACCAACTGGCCTGTTGGTCCTAGGACCGGTTGGACCAACTGGCCTGTTGGTCCTATGGGACCGGTTGGACCAACTGGCCTGTTGGTCCTATGGACCGGTTGGACCAACTGGCCTGTTGGTCCTGTGGACCGTTGGACCAACTGGCCTGTTGGTCCTATGGACCGGTTGGACCAACTGGCTGTTGGTCCTGTGGACCGGTTGGACCAACTGGCCTGTTGGTCCTATGGACCGGTTGGACCAACTGGCCTGTTGGTCCTATGGACGGTTGGACCAACTGGCTGTTGGTCCTATGGACCGGTTGGACCAACTGGCCTGTTGGTCCTATGGACCGGTTGGACCAACTGGCCTGTTGGTCCAATGGACCGGTTGGACCAACTGGCCTGTTGGTCCTATGGACGGTTGGACCAACTGGCCTGTTGGTCCTATGGGACCGGTTGGACCAACTGGCATGTTGGTCCTATGGACCGGTTGGACCAACTGGCCTGTTGGTCCTATGGACCGGTTGGACCAACTGGCCTGTTGGTCCTATGGACCGGTTGGACCAACTGGCCTGTTGGTCCTATGGACGGTTGGACCAACTGGCCTGTTGGTCCTATGGACCGGTTGGACCAACTGGCCTGTTGGTCCTATGGACCGGTTGGGACCAACTGGCCTGTGGTCCTATGGACCGGTTGGACCAACTGGCCTGTTGGTCCTATGGACCGGTTGGACCAACTGGCCTGTTGGTCCTATGGACCGGTTGGACCAACTGGCCTGTTGGTCCTATGGACCGGTTGGACCAACTGGCCTGTTGGTCCAAGGACCGGTTGGACCAACTGGCCTGTTGGTCCTATGGCCGGTTGGACCAACTGGCCTGTTGGTCCTGTGGACCGGTTGGACCAACTGGCCTGTTGGTCCTATGGACCGGGTTGGACCAACTGGCCTGTTGGTCCTGTGGACCGGTTGACCAACTGGCCTGTTGGTCCTATGGACCGGTTGGACCAACTGGCCTGTTGGTCCTATGGACCGGTTGGACCAACTGGCCTGTGGTCCTATGGACCGGTTGGACCAACTGGCCTGTTGGTCCTATGGACCGGTTGGACCAACTGGCCTGTTGGTCCTATGGACCGGTTGGACCAACTGGCCTGTTGCCGATGGACCGGTTGGACCAACTGGCCTGTTGGTCCTATGGACGGTTGGACCAACTGGCCTGTTGGGTCCTATGGACCGGTTGGACCAACAAACTGGCCTGTTGGTCCTGTGGACCGGTTGGACCAACTGGCCTGTTGGTCCTGTGGACCGGTTGGACCAACTGGCCTGTTGGTCCTGTGGACCGGTTGGACCAATGGCCTGTTGGTCCTATGGACCGGTTGGACCAACTGGCCTGTTGGTCCTATGGACCGGTTGGACCAAACTGGCCTGTTGGTCCTATGGACCGGTTGGACCAACTGGCCTGTTGGTCCTATGGACCGGTTGGGACCAACTGGCTGTTGGTCCTATGGACCGGTTGGACCAACTGGCCTGTGGTCCTATGGACCGGTTGGACCAACTGGGCCTGTTGGTCCTATGGACCGGTTGGACCAACTGGCCTGTTGGGTCCTATGGACCGGGTTGGACCAACTGGCCTGTTGGTCCTATGGACCGGTTGGACCAACTGGCCTGTTGGTCCTATGGACCGGTTGGACCAACTGGCCTGTTGGTCCTATGGACCCCCCCGGTTTGGACCAACTGGCCTGTTGGTCCTATGGACCGGTTGGACCAACTGGCCTGTTGGTCCTATGGACCGGTTGGACCAACTGGCCTGTTGGTCCTATGGACCGGTTGGACCAACTGGCCTGTTTGTCCTATGGACCGGTTGGACCAACTGGCCTGTTGGTCCTATGGACCGTTGGACCAACTGGCCTGTTGGTCCTATGGACCGGTTGGACCAACTGGCCTGTTGGTCCTATGGACCGGTTGGACCAATGGCATGTTGGTCCTATGGACCGGTTGGACCAACTGGCCTGTTGGTCCTATGGACCCCAACTCCCCCTGGTCCTATGGACCGGTGGACCAACTGGCCTGTTGGTCCTATGGACCGGTTGGGACCAACTGGCCTGTTGGTCCTATGGGACCGGTTGGACCAACTGGCCTGTTGGTCCTATGGACCGGTTGGACCAACTGGCCTGTTGGTCCTATGGACCGGTTGGACCAACTGGCATGTTGGTCCTATGGACCGGTGGGACCAACTGGCCTGTTGGTCCTATGGACCGGTTGGACCAACTGGCCTGTTGGTCCTATGGACCGGTTGGACCAACTGGCCTGTCGGCCGAATGGACCGGTTGGACCAACTGGCATGTTGGTCCTATGGATCGGTGGGACCAACTGGCCTGTTGGTCCTATGGACCGGTTGGACCAACTGGCCTGTTGGTCCTATGGACCGGTTGGACCAACTGGCCTGTTGGTCCTGTGGACCGGTTGGACCAACTGGCCTGTTGGTCCTGTGGACCGGTTGGACCAACTGGCCTGTTGGTCCTATGGACCGGTTGGACCAACTGGCCTGTTGGTCCTATGGACCGGTTGGACCAACTGGCCTGTTGGTCCTATGGACGGTTGGACCAACTGGCCTGTTGGTCCTATGGACCGGTTGGACCAACTGGCCTGTTGGTCCTATGGACCGGTTGGACCAACTGGCCTGTTGGTCCTATGGACCGGTTGGACCAAAGGCCTGTTGGCCTATGGACGGTTGGACCAACTGGCTGTTGGTACTATGGACCGGTTGGACCAACTGGCCTGTTGGTCCTATGGACCGGTTGGACCAACTGGCCTGTTGGTCCTATGGACCGGTTGGACCAACTGGCCTGTTGGTCCTATGGACCGGTTGGACCAACTGGCCTGTTGGTCCTATGGACCGGTTGGACCAACTGGCCTGTTGGTCCTATGGACCGGTTGGACCAACTGGCCTGTTGGTCCTAGGACCGGTTGGACCACTGGCTGTTGGTCTATGGACGGTTGGACCAACTGGCCTGTTGGTCCTATGGACCGGTTGGACCAACTGGCCTGTTGGTCCTATGGACCGGTTGGACCAACTGGCATGTTGGTCCTATGGACCGGTTGGACCAACTGGCCTGTGGTCCTATGGACGGTTGGACCAACTGGCCCGTTGGTCCTATGGACCGGTTGGACCAACTGGCCTGTTGGTCCTGTGGACCGGTTGGACCAACTGGCCTGTTGGTCCTATGGACCGGTTTGGACCAACTGGCCTGTTGGTCCTATGGACCGGTTGGACCAAACTGGCCTGTTGGTCCTATGGAACTGGGTGTGGACCAACAACTGGCCTGTTGGTCCTATGGACCGGGTTGGACCAACTGGCCTGTGGTCCTATGGACCGGTGGACCAACTGGCCTGTTGGTCCTATGGACCGTTGGACCAACTGGCCATGTTGGTCCTATGGACCGGTTGGACCAACTGGCCTGTTGGTCCTATGGACCGGTTGGACCAACTGGCCTGGGTCTATGTGGACCGGTTGGACCAACTGGCCTGTTGGTCCTATGGACCGGTTGGACCAACTGGCCTGTTGGTCCTATGGACCGGTTGGACCAACTGGCCTGTTGGTCCTATGGACCGGTTGGACCAACTGGCCTGTGGTCCTATGGACCGGTTGGACCAACTGGCCTGTTGGTCCTATGGACCGGTTGGACCAACTGGCCTGGTGGTCCTATGGACCGGTTGGACCAACTGGCCTGTTGGTCCTATGGACCGGTTGGACCAACTGGCCTGTTGGTCCTATGGACCGGTTGGACCAACTGGCCTGTTGGCCGAATGGACCGGTTGGACCAACTGGCCTGTTGGTCCTATGGACGGTTGGACCAACTGGCCTGTCGGTCCTATGGACCGGTTGGACCAACTGGCCAGTTGGTCCTATGGACCGGTTGGACCAACTGGCCTGTTGGTCCTATGGACCGGTTGGACCAACTGGCCTGTTGGTCCTATGGACCGGTTGGACCAAACTGGCCTGTTGGTCCTGTGGACCGGTTGGACCAACTGGCCTGTTGGTCCTGTGGACCGGTTGGACCAACTGGCCTGTTGGTCCTATGGACCGGTTGGACCAACTGGCCTGTTGGTCCTATGGACCGGTTGGACCAACTGGCCTGTTGGTCCTGTGGACCGGTTGGACCAACTGGCCTGTGGTCCTATGGACCGGTTGGACCAACTGGCCTGTTGGTCCTATGGACCGGTTGGACCAACTGGCCTGTTGGTCCTATGGACCGGTTGGACCAATGGCCTGTTGGTCCTATGGACCGGTTGGACCAACTGGCCTGTTGGTCCTATGGACCGGTTGGACCAACTGGCCTGTTGGCCCTGTGGACCGGTTGGACCAACTGGCCTGTTGGTCCTATGGACCGGTTGGACCAACTGGCCTGTCGGTCCTATGGACCGGTTGGACCAACTGGCCAGTCGGTCCTATGGACCGGTTGGACCAACTGGCCTGTTGGTCCTGTGGACCGGTTGGACCAACTGGCCTGTTGGTCCTGTGGGACCGGTTGGACCAACTGGCCTGTTGGTCCTTTGGACCGGTTGGACCAACTGGCCTGTTGGTCCTTGTGGACCGGTTGGACCAACTGGCCTGTTGGTCCTATGGACCGGTTGGACCAACTGGCCTGTTGTCCTATGGACGGTTGGACCAACTGGCCTGTTGGTCCTGTGGACCGGTTGGACCAACTGGCCTGTTGGTCGAATGGACCGGTTGGACCAACTGGCCTGTTGGTCCTAGGACCGGTTGGACCAACTGGCCTGTCGGTCCTGTGGACCGGTTGGACCAACTGGCCTGTTGGTCCTATGGACCGGTTGGACAAACTGGCCTGTGGTCCTGGGACGGTTGGACCAACTGGCCTGTTGGTCCTATGGACCGGTTGGACCAACTGGCCTGTTGGTCCTGTGGACCGGTTGGACCAACTGGCCTGTTGGTCCTATGGACCGGTTTGGACCAACTGGCCTGTTGGCCTATGGACCGGTTGGACCAACTGGCCTGTTGGTCCTATGGACCGGTTGGACCAACTGGCCTGTTGGTCCAAGGACCGGTTGGACCAACTGGCCTGTTGGTCCTATGGATCGGTTGGACCAACTGGCCTGTCGGTCCTATGGACCGGTTGGACCAACTGGCCTGTTGGTCCTGTGGACCGGTTGGACCAACTGGCCTGTTGGTCCTTTGGACCGGTTGGACCAACTGGCCTGTTGGTCCTGTGGACCGGTTGGACCAACTGGCCTGTTGGTCCTATGGACCGGTTGGACCAACTGGCCTGTTGGTCCTATGGACCGGTTGGACCAACTGGCCTGTTGGTCCTATGGACCGGTTGGACCAACTGGCCTGTTGGCCGAATGGACCGGTTGGACCAACTGGCCTGTTGGTCCTATGGACCGGTTGGACCAACTGGCCTGTCGGTCCTATGGACCGGTTGGACCAACTGGCCAGTCGGTCCTATGGACCGGTTGGACCAACTGGCCTGTTGGTCCTGTGGACCGGTTGGACCAACTGGCCTGTTGGTCCTGTGGACCGGTTGGACCAACTGGCCTGTTGGTCCTGTGGACCGGTTGGACCAACTGGCCTGTTGGTCCTATGGATCGGTTGGACCAACTGGCCTGTTGGTCCTATGGACGGTTGGACCAACTGGCCTGTGGTCCTATGGGACCGGTTGGACCAACTGGCCTGTTGGTCCTATGGACCGGTTGGACCAACTGGCCTGTTGGTCCTATGGACCGGTTGGACCAACTGGCCTGTCGGTCCTATGGACCGGTTGGACCAACTGGCCAGTCGGTCCTATGGACCGGTGGGACCAACTGGCCTGTTGGTCCTGTGGACCGGTTGGACCAACTGGCCTGTTGGTCCTGTGGACCGGTTGGACCAACTGGCCTGTTGGTCCTGTGGACGGTGGACCAACTGGCCTGTGGTCCTGTGGACCGGTTGGACCAACTGGCCTGTGGTCCTGTGGACCGGTTGGACCAAATGGCCTGTTGGTCCTATGGACCGGTTGGAACCAACTGGCCTGTTGGTCCTATGGACCGGTTGGACCAACTGGCCTGTTGGTCCTATGGACCGGTTGGACCAACTGGCTGTTGGTCCTAAGACCGGTTGGACCAACTGGCCATGGTCCTATGGACCGGTTGGACCAACTGGCATGTTGGTCCTATGGACCGGTTGGACCAACTGGCCTGTTGGGTCCTATGGACCGGTTGGACCAACTGGCCTGTTGGTCCTATGGACCGGTTGGACCAACTGGCCTGTTGGTCCTAGGACCGGTTGGACCAACTGGCCTGTTGGTCCTATGGACCGGTTGGACCAACTGGCCTGTTGGTCCTATGGACCGGTTGGACCAACTGGCCTGTTGGTCCTATGGACCGGTTGGACCAACTGCCTGTTGGTCCTATGGACCGGTTGGACCAACTGGCCTGTTGGTCCTATGGACCGGTTGGACCAACTGGCCTGTTGGTCCTATGGACCGGTTGGACCAACTGGCATGTTGGTCCAAGGACCGGTTGGACCAACTGGCCTGTTGGTCCTAGTAGACGGTTGGACCAACTGGCCTGTTGGTCCTATGGACCGGTTGGACCAACTGGCCTGTTGGTCCTATGGACCGGTTGGACCAACTGGCCTGTTGGTCCTATGGACCGGTTGGACCAACTGGGCCTGGTGGGTCTATGGACCGGTTGGACCAACTGGCCTGTTGGTCCTATGGACCGGTTGGACCAACTGGCATGTCGGTCCTAGGACCGGTTTGGACCAACTGGCCTGTCGGTCCTATGGACCGGTTGGACCAACTGGCCTGTTGGTCCGAATGGACCGGTTGGACCAACTGGCCTGTGGTCCTATGGACCGGTTGGACCAACTGGCCTGTTGGTCCTATGGAGCGTTGGACCAACTGGCCTGTTGGTCCTATGGACCGGTTGGACCAACTGGCCTGTTGGTCCTATGGACCGGTTGGACCAACTGGCATGTTGGTCCTATGACCGGTTGGACCAACTGGCCTTTTGGTCCTATGGACCGGTTGGACCAACTGGCCTGTTGGTCCTATGGACCGGTTGGACCAACTGGCCTGTTGGTCCTATGGACCGGTTGGACCAACTGGCCTGTTGGTTCTATGGACCGGTTGGACCAACTGGCCTGTTGGTCCTGTGGACCGAGTGGACCAACTGGCCTGTTGGTGCTATGGACCGATTGGACCAACTGGCCTGTTGGTCCTATGGACCCGGTTGGACCAACTGGCCTGTTGGTCCTATGGACCGGTTGGACCAACTGGCCTGTTGGGACTATGGACCGGTTGGACCAACTGGCCTGTTGGTCCTATGGACCGGTTGGACCAACTGGCCTGTTGGTCCTATGGACCGGTTGGACCAACTGGCCTGTTGGTCCTATGGACCGGTTGGACCAACTGGCCTGTTGGTCCTATGGACCGGTTGGACCAACTAGCCTGTTGGTCCTATGGACCGGTTGGACCAACTGGCCTGCTGGTCCTATGGACCGGTTGGACCAACTGGCATGTTGGTCCTATGGACCGGTTGGACCAACTGGCCTGTTGGTCCTATGGACCGGTTGGACCAACTGGCCTGTTGGTACTATGGACCGGTTGGACCAACTGGCCTGTTGGTCCTATGGACCGGTTGGACCAACTGGCTGTGGTCCTATGGACCGGTTGGACCAACTTGCCTGTTGGTCCTATGGACCGGTTGGACCAACTGGCCTGTTGGTCCTATGGACCGGTTGGACCAACTGGCCTGTTGGTCCTATGGACCGGTTGGACCAACTGGCCTGTTGGTCCTATGGAACGGTTGGACCAAACTGGCCTGTTGGTCCTATGGACCGGTTGGACCAACTGGCATGTTGGTCCTATGGACCGGTTGGACCAACTGGCCTGTTGGTCCAATGGACCGGTTGGACCAACTGGCCTGTTGGTCCTATGGGGTGGACCCGGCCGGTTGAA